GTTCTGCACTCAATCCAATCCACGCACACACACACCGGTATAACATCAGACTTCTGAAGTTTAAATAACGTTGATTAAACGTTTTTCAACGAAAACAAATCGTAATCAGAGTTGGTTAAACGTCATTTAGCTGAGGGATCAATCTTAGAATTTTCTACGATAGAAGAATGTTAGCATGGGCAATGGAATTCATTGACAACAAATGTATATGATTTTCAAAAATGCCAAATTTGAACCTCGTACTATCAGCATGCTCAGAGGTGAAGTTCCAGCTGATATTACGGGCGTAGTAATGACATAATCCAAACTTTATTTATCTGGCAAATGATATACAATCTTGTCTGTACCTAACATAAACTACTGGCATAGCATTATTATATGATACTCTGTTGCTAGTCGTTAATTGTGCTTATCATTAAGTCTCAAGATTCCATTGCATTTGGCAAATAATTTCTATTCTTGCAAAACCTGAACTGAACTGTGATGTCACATGAAAGTCACTCAGTAAACCACCGCTATTAATATGAATAATGACGGAACCTCAGCCGAAATGATTCTATGTGAATCGATAATTTTTTTTTACAGCATTTGTGACTAGACGGGCATTTTAGAAATTCCCTGACAATTGTAGAGTTTTTATATGACATCATAAAATTTCAGATAGCAAATAAATAAAAAAATGATACATTGATCTTATAAAATACTTCTTGGAAATTACGTTTACTGAAATTATACATACGTTTTTTATTTCAGCTTTGGAAAACATAAGTCAATTGGAAAATAAGTTTAGTAGCAAGGTTAAAAACATTAGGAATCCTTTTAAGAAGATTTTCTTAGCAGCATTGAACTATTTTTCCTGGCAAAAATACAGGCGTTTTTTTCTTCTGGGAATCAGGACAGCAATAAAGCAGTAAACATGGCGCCTGGGGTTTTCGGTCGGCTGCGCTCTGTTTGCTGCTCAGCGAATATTTCGGTGTTCTTGTTAAGCTTCGATGTTTTCTGGTGACCCACAGCCTTCAGTGATTAATTTTTGGCATGGAAAAGACATAAGGTAAATCTCTGTCAGTTGTGTGGAAATCAAATAAGCTGCATAATAAAAGTTCGAAAATTGATTATATTATCCTATATATTTGCGCAATCAAATCTATCATCTAAATTACTTAATTTATAACTAATCAAATTTATCCTAAAAATTAGCGAACTTATGAGATACAGGTAAGCATTGAATATCTCTTCACGCGAGCAAAGTCCTTTCCAGCGTTCAACACCCCATATTAGTACTATAACCGTGCAACTAAATGGCGCCAGCGCATGTAATGCCAATAAAGCCTTCATTTCAAGTTTCTTCATTTCCAGATATTTTCATTGAGCGTTAGAAGCTCTTCCGCAAAGCCCAAAGTTCAGAAAACGAGATGAAAAGTTCATTTCCGTTCATGATCAAGAAAAAAACCCGAGAGAATTTATGAAGAAAGAATCTCAACACTGCAATCCAATTTCATTTCGGTACTGCGGCTTGAGTTAAAACTTTCTTCATTTTTACCTCATTTATCCAGACGGATGTGAAGAAGATGGAGCGGCTCAGAAGCAACGCAATGCGCGGTGATACGAGAAGCGTCTACTCTCAATTTCGCTGTTTTTGCAGCGAGAGATGTGTGTGCGTATAGCACCTAGAAAACGTTGCAGAATTTACATCTACTTTTATTGTTAACGCAAATCGTCTCATAGTCCGTCCAGATAACAGATAACATTTTGAGAAGTGCTAAAAAGTTTGAGATCCCATGGTGGTGGATAATTATCAGGCTGATCTAAAATTTCCCGATTCTGTAAAAAATTAATAATATACCGTTGAGTGAAAACGAGTTGTTCAGTTTAAATGCAGTACGTTGAACCAAAATAGGTTGATGATACACGCTGCTTACTTTGTTTTGGTATTTTCATAAACTAATAATGAATCGATGGTATTACAAAATGTAAAATGGCTTAGCAAACTTACCTTTTTGATTAGGCCTAAAAACGACAAATCGCAAATCATTGAAAACATTTTATGTTTTCGAAAATGACTGGAGTAAATTCCGAGAAGATAGCTTAGAAATTATAGAATACGAGGATAGTAGATGCTATGCAAGGAAGAATAGAAGTGATTCCCTGTGGCCATGCCAATAACCGATTGCATGACTGACGCACATTACCTTGCATTTTGGCTTAAGCTTTGCCGGGCGAGCAATCCTATTATTAATTATTCAAGCTCATTGGATTATCTTGCACAGAATATTTTCCGATCTCCTATGGTTAGAAAGATTTAACGTGGCATGATTTTCGTGCACGGGAACGCACACTCGGATTTCAACAGTGAAGAAAATTCAACAGTGAGTGCTGCACATTTCTGAAAGCCCCCTTGTTACGCATATGAATCGTAACGGGAGATGCAAAAATCGTTCAGTGAGGTTCTGCGCATTGTATTCATGAATGTCCATTAACACGATTTATGAGCAATTAAAATTAAATACATTTTAGCGCTCACTGGTAACGAAAGAGTTGCATAAATACGAGCTGTGAGTAGCTAAATATTACCTCCCAAGTTTCGGTAACCAAGCAAGAGGCAGTCGATCAGGTAGGAGTTAAAGAGCTATGGAGCGCAACCAAATTCGCACTTCGGTACTTTGGGCTGAGATGTATTTTTTTCAACGATGAATTATATATTAATTAAAATCTTCACGCCGCATCTCCACCAGCTGAAGAAACATTCAATGTAGGGCAAAAAACAATAAAATTAGACCTAAGACATTTTCAAAGGTAACATCTCAACCCGTTTCCGCCATGATAGCGAGCTGAAGCACAGCCGCTCCTCCTCGGGCCTCTCCCCCAAAAGCCGAGATAAGGTCCCTAGGAAGTAAATGATGTGCGACGTAGAAATTTCCTGCCTGACCTTCGGTATTTTTTAGAATTAATGAATGCCATCAACTGAAAACGATGGTCTTGGCAATTATTAGCGGAATTGCGATGACAAAATTACGCGTGAAAAATTGCTTGAAAGTACATTGTCCTCTCCTTAAAAAGCTTTAGTTGTTCATATACAAACAATTGTATTAAATTGGAGTTGGAGGAACAGTTCCGCTGGAAGGTTTGAATAAATTAATTTTGATCAAATCAATTGAATTTGATCTCGATTGTCTGTTCAACAAAAAAAATTATGGATCTGAATTTGTGTCGGAATTAGAATCTCCAATGCAGTATTGCTTGCCTGTCCGCTGTTCGTAGCTAAATTGTCTGTTGGTTTCTGCTGCTTTTCTATGATATAACTCTAAGAAATAAAGCTGAAATAATTACATTACTAATTTATGAGAAGTAGGGCGTATTAAGAAAGGATTTGCATAATCTTGCAACGCAATTTCTTGACTATGTATAATACAGATCTGTAGAAAGATTTTCCGTCTAGTTGAACTTGGTTACTATAACACAATATGTTGAGAATTTTTGATGCTCTGCTCATTGAAACTAGCGTTGAATGCTTTTTAGGCCAAACAAAATTTTCATAGTTTTACTTGTAAATAATAATGCACGTTCATGATAGACTCGTCATTCACTGAATGGCGCAGCCAGCAACACATTCTTCAGAAATTAATTGCTTGTTTCCGGAGGACCTTCACTGCAGTTAATTGCTATCACCTGCCGGAAGAGCGTTTAAAGTGCAAAGCCATTAAATTTATTCGTATTTTCAGTTGATTTTCGTGGAACTTCATATACGAGTCCAGGGAAAATCTTGGTGCCTGGAAATTCAATCGTCCTTTGTGATTTTCAAGGCAACTAAACGGGAATAAATGGCGTTCTGATGTCAAATTCATATACGCTGGGCTCCAGTTTTGGTAGTACGTAGCGACGAAAGGAGTATAGAATACGGGCTCACTGTTGCAGAGGACGGAACTACGTAATAGCAGCAATGAAAAAAAGGCACTTGACGAAGAATTGCCCAGAGATCATAAACTAAATTAGCGAATAAAACGGATACGCGAGAGTAATGGTCTTGTGTAGTTAGCAGAGCTTATCAAGCCATGAAGCCTTATTACTGAGAAAAAGAGATTAATTCAGGAACAAATTACAATCTCTCACGACTGCTGCTCATGACAATATATCACTTGTCAATTCCCATCAAAATTCGAAAACAAAGTGAAAAAATTGTTCTAAACAATTGAAAGATGATATATTCTTGTGTATTTTTTCGTTTGATTTGGTTGTAATAGAGAATTTATTAAGATAAAAAATCGCTAGCAACTATCATCATATAACATGACTGTAAAAATTAATTGAGGCAGAAGACCGGGATATCAGGAGCGTGTCGTTTATAACTGTTAAAGCAAATTTTGTATAGTCGAGTTTTAGTACGCTGAAATTACCAGGCCGCATTCCAACAGATTGCACCACCGTTAAAAGCTGTCGTCATAAATTAGATTTTATTTCTGTACGCGATGAGAGTCCAGGTCGTTATTCCTCACTAATTTACGACCTGAGTTTCTTCCTTCGGGAATTCCAAGACTCATCTACCAACGCGCCATAGATTAGCACATTGATTTATTGGCCGAAGAAATAGAGCAAAGATCGACCGCCACACGAAGGTTCCTCATTCAGTTCGTATTTCTAGACACCAAAAAAGATGCTGGATCCCTATTGTTCTGGGCTGTCTCGAATGAAACTTCGAATACAATATAAGTACTGGAAAAATACGTAACGTCCTCGTATCAATTTAAAAAGTTAGAAATTGGTTTTCAAGTAATGAGAAATAAAACGGATACACGGAAATTACCACTCACTTTTTGTTTGAGACCTTCAACATACATACCGACACCTATTTAGGCTGTTAATAACTTCTATCCTACAGGTATAAAACTATTAGGGTAAAAAAGACTCAAGGTATGCCCACACATGAAGTGAATTTTGAATTATGAATTTTGAATTATAGCCAGTCTTGAAGTGAATTTTTTTTCTACCAGGAGACTGGTTGCTATGCTGAAAGCACTACTGACACTGTGTTCGCTGAGCATGGCGTTGGGAGGCACTGGTCTCTACATGGGGCCGTACTTCAGAGACCCGCAGCCTCTGAACTTCACGGTGCATAAGAATAGCGCTGCCTACTTGCCCTGTGAAGTGCGACAGCTCGGCGACAAGAAAGTAAGCCCTCTAGCATGCAGTCGGGAGCTTCAAACACGAGACGTGTAGTAGTCTTAGATCTTACCCGTTCTTCTTAAATCAAAGCACTGAATATTTAGAATCTTGCAACTACAAAGAATGTCTGATATTTCAAAATTTTAAAATATCATTGGAATAAACGTTTCGAGTGCCAAACTATTGGGAAGGTGATAGGAAATATACTTACGCAACAAAATTTAGAATTTGAGTTGGCTTCTGTAGGTCCGGAATGATTCTAAACATTAAACTAGTTTATTCCCGTAAACAATCACTATCGGAAATAACGATACCATTCATACCTATATAAAATATATACAAATTTGTTTTCCTATTAGATAAAATGCATGCCTGATATTCAAGAAAATTTATCTGAGAATGATTTAGGATCAATGATTTTAAATTATTCAGCAACTGAAACTTTTTGAGATTGAGAGTAAGCGGCGCGGTAATTGATTAAAGACGAAGGCCCTTAAAAATTATACGGCCTCCAAAAGTGGTCGCGACAATAAAACTTTTATTATATTAGAATATGAAACTCTGCTATGAATTTTTCTTGCAAAATATTTGCCTAAGACGATAAGTGCATTATAAGCTTCTATTATGAAGTTAAAAAACTCTAACCGTGGAAAGTTATAATATGTTTAAATTTAGGAGCAGGAGGCTTTGCAAGAAAATCCTTAATATTTTAGTGAAAAAAAAATCAATTTCCATAAAATTATTTTGATTTCTTGGCATTTACTTTGATTTTAAATTGTTATGTCACAACATTAAATAGGTAACATCGAAGGACTCCTCTTTTGTTCGTTACGGATTTCACTTACTGTTAATTGAATTTTAAACATATCACACAGTTTTATAATTGTTTTTCGTAGTACACGGCAGTCGTTGTTAATACTATCTTAAAGAAAGCGATGATGTAATCAACGTATGAATGCTCAAAGCAATGTAAATGAACAATATATGTTATTATCAGTTCAATCTAATTGGTTGTCATTAGTTAATTGCTTGCTCAATCGTAACACAACGAATTAAGAAAAATATTGGGCCCCTTTCCTCATGATTAGCATCATATCAAAATAATGTTCGGAAAATCATATATGTTTTAAAATTATTTATAGAAAGTATTTTGTATTGCCTGCTTTCCAACAACGTGTTCAAGCTGGCACAGAGAAAAGCTTTTACAGCTCCAACACAAATAAAAAGATACTTCAAATTGGACAACCAGCGAGGTTAACTTCAGAAGTTTGTTATAAACGACGTAATTTGAGCCGCAAAATATAAATCCGTTGGAAATGGTCGTTAAGACTATACGCTAAATTGATTCGGGATCGCAAAAGTCCTTGGCCAGCTCGGGGAACGGAAACGTTGCTGTGCAAATTCGGGCCATTTGTGATGCAAGTTCGAATGTCGTCCGAAACACGTTATCGACACGTCATTGTTGAAGCCCCATGCGGTTATCTTGCGAAATGGGAAAAACATGCGCATTTTGATACGGTTAAACTGCAGAGGGAAATAATCCCGAGCAAAAAGAATCTAAGAAGGTCTGTTAGGAGTAAATGATGAACACGCATTCTATTGTTTTAAATTTCCGCTTCTATAACAAAGAATTTGAAATGCATTGAGTAAAACTTTTGATCTAATAGAATTCTAGTGGAATTAATAAATGGTTATGTAAAATATTCTTTCTAACCTCATCTTGGGACCTCTTCCTTCGCAGGTATCATGGGTTAGAGCGAAAAAAGAAGACTCTGACATCCTGACGGTTGGTCAGTACACGTTTGTCAACGACGAACGGTTTTCTGTATTCAAATCTGACGACACTTGGACGCTCGTCATCAAATATGTCCAAGCGCGAGACTCAGGCGTTTACGAGTGTCAAATCAGCACAGAGCCTAAAATGGCCCTGCGCTTCCGCCTCAACGTAATTGGTATGTTTTATGGATGAAAGCTATTGATTTTATAAATGTCGTTTAGATTTTTAAAGTTGCATTGCACGTGTCTGTTTACTAAGTTTAGAAGAATATTTCTGCATTACATTTATTTCTCTTCCTGCATGTTGGAAAAAATTTTAATCCTCATGTTTTACAAGTAATAGTAGTAGTGGTAGTAGTAGTAGTAGTAGTAGTAGTAGTAGTAGTAGAAGGTTTGCTAGCGCTTCAGATAGCTATTTCGCGCAGGGAACTCTCATCAGCTCTCACTATGAATTATTATTTCGAACTCTGATTTGTCTTCATTCATTCTCTATTCGTGTCAAACTAAAAAAACAGTCTTTTTTATAATTATATCACCTTGTCTTATAATTGTCGACGTCGTAACACTTTCATGGTGATTTTTAGTGCAACACGAGCTGCGAACCGAATCTATTCTGCAATCGCTTCTGAAATCTATTTATTGTGAATATCAGAAAACCGAATATCAAAAGTAATTTAATTAATAATTTAATCTTAGATTCAATTTTATTCTAATACTTGAATCTCAGTCCCGCAAGTTGAGATTACGGGCGAGGCTGAAAAATACGTGAGGAAAGGTTCGACTGCGAAGCTGGAATGCCGAGTGTCCTCGACCGTGGAGCTCCCCGACTACATCTTCTGGTACCGCGCTGGGCAGCGGCTGCTGGAGTACGATGAACCTCGCATGTCCATCAGCGTGTCCAGGGCCAGCGGCGACAAGGACAAGAGCGGCGAGATGAGCGTCACGTCAGTCCTGGTGATCTTCCGCGCACATCTTGAAGACGCTGGCAACTACACCTGCTTGCCTTCTAACCTCCCAAACTCTACCATCCGCCTCCATGTGCTGGACGGTGAGTCCGGCCTGCTGAAGCTTTGGCTTGAATACAATATCGATTTATGGGTTACAATAAGCTAATACCATGGTAAAATTAAATTTAACTGCTAGAAATGAGTTAGTTTGATATTTTTGTACTTATCAAACATTTTTATTATAAAATCTAAGAGTATTGACTGGATCCTGATTTTCATTAGAGCTTCACAAAATCTTCAGAAATGCGTCAGTTCAATTTTTTTCAAGATAAAGAACCCATAGCATTGAACAGTTTGTAAAATAGTATTTATATTTTGATAACTCCTACGATGCACTGAAACCAAAAGACGATACTGCAGTTAATCTGTGGATCACAAAAGGTAGGTGTACAAACACGATATCCATTAGTGCGCGAGCCATTGCATCGATTGAAGGCACCTTCTCAAACAAGATATCCAAAGACATCGCGAGACTCAAAATAAATTCGCGTGGAAGAATAAACAGGTAACCTTGGTATTGCAGGAGAGCATCCAGCGGCGATGCAGACGGGCAGCGCCAGCGTTCTGCCCTTGCAGCCATCATCGTTGCTGCTGGCCACCATCCTCGTGATGACGTTGTCGGCAGGATGCACGTGCGATAGCTCCTTGGGGCGGAGAGTAGGTGTTGTGCAAGCTCATCAACCAAGAAAATCGAATTCAATTTTAACAAGGATGTGTCTTCGAGTACAGAGTCTTGGCCGAACGTTTTGGCTTTCGAAGATATATAAAAAATTCGTGTCAGAGAAGGTGCGGCCATCTTACAAAGTGGCCTATGATTTTTCAGAAATGTCTTCACCGTTAACAGGTATTATTGCTACAATGCCACAGATTCAAGGAGAACAGGAGCTAAATTTCTCCAATTCTTTAAACAAAAATATAAGCCAGAATGAAGGTGTCGTTGTTCTCGCCTCTGCAAGCTCCACGGAACGTTGCAACTGCGATAACTTGTGAAAAGGACCGTTTGTTGGAAATTTCTGTGTCTGTAGTTTTTGCCAGGTTAGTGATTATGGATTAAGATATTCTTATCGATGTGTTGTACAGAATTGCACTAAATTAAATGAACCGTATTAGTACACATTGATGGATATTGTTATAGAGGATCATGATTAACATTTACAAGGAATTCAAGAGAGCTCTATATCCGATCGATCGAAAGATCAACATTGAGGCGGTGATTTATGTAAATTGTAATCTGTTAATCAGATAACTTGTGGGTTATCTGTTAATCAGATAACTTGTGGGTTATCTGTTAATCAGATAACTTGTGGGTTATCTGTTAATCAGATAACCCACACGCAACAATTTATATTTTAAATTAGAGTTTGTCCCACAAACTGTGCAGCTTCTTACCCTATGCCCTGATTTTCTAGTCACGCTTCTAATCCTAAGAACGAATTGCTGTGATATTGTGTATATCATTCCATTGGAGTTTGTTGAACGTCCAAATTACGTCATAAATTAACTTGGCAAGTGAATCCGCATCATGTAAAAGATAAATATACTTGTTAAAATTATAAATAATTTATTATTTACGTATAGTTTTTACGGATTAAATTTTCGCTGTCAAGGAAATTTTACCATTAACGCAGCGATGTTCAGAGAATTCAGTCAATTTGCTGATTTTCATCCGCAGATATGCAAGCGGGAAGAATTAGAAACATGAAAGAATTAAATAAACATCGTGATGATTTCCGTGTAAACCTATTCAGCGGTTTTTAGAAAATGTACAGCTAATTTTGAGCAGAGAAGTTTTAAAATAATTCGTTTGGCGATCGGCGATGCTTTGTGAGTTCCATCTGTTTTATTTGTCAGTAAATCGTGGCCTTGATTGACACCACGAGAGGCCAACAAACAAAGCCAATCATCGCGGCTAAATTAAGTTTGTGAACTTCACCTTTGATGTGAGAATATTTTATCACTTCTGTTGGAAATGCCCAATTAGTGACAATTCAGTCAAACAAAATTGGTCATGCATCCGAGGTTTTGGACAAGAAACTTGATACTCTTTATTTCAATAGAATTATTTAGAGTTTTTCCTGACCAGTTTTGGGAAAAAGACAGTCTTTTAGAAGAATAGACTTAGACAAAGACTTTAGAGGCAACATAGTTGAGCAGGGATATGACAAAAAATAGAAGGTCAGTACGGCGAAAATTATAATTTCAATTATGAGAATTGAAATGGTAAAACATCGGGTGCAATTAAAGGGATGTCGATATCGAAGTAAACGAAATTTCTAAAAGATTTATGAGTCCTTTATAGATGAAGTATATGGAGGTTGAACTTTGATTTTTTTCAATCATCGCCATTGCAGGTTTTAAGTTCCTTCACGGCCAAACAAAAATCTCTACATTAATTTATTCCTCGAGTCAATGGAAAAAGTGAAAAATGTCCTGTCACTACTTTTTGAACTAATATTTTATTAAATACTTCAAAATTTAGTGCCCATTTACTCTCGTATGATCAATCAGAGAATTATGAGGAAATATTGGCGTGTTCTCCGCTGCTCGGTGTACAGAAATTACTGAATATTTTTATCGAAATTCCATTTAAACTCCAAGCATATACATGTATGTGTGTGTACATTATCTTAGATTTATGTTACATATTACATGGCTGCAGTGTTTCTCTAACCTAACTTAGAAAAACTATCAGAACTAAAGATCTTCTAGAGATGTATTGAGTCTTGATTATGCAATGACGGTCAGGCGAATGTCACATAAAAACTAGAATTATTCAACTATCGCGATAATTATATGTGTAATTAGACTCTTAGAACAAACGCAGTAATGACTGTCATCTGAACGCGGCGCAGCCTCAAAATTTAGCAATATAATTAGTTCTCTTCTTATGCATATGGGGAGTAAACCACAGCACACAGCATATGTGGAGTAAGTTCTTACATTTGGTTAAATGATTATTTTATTTATTTTGGCAAGATTAAAGGCAAATTATTCATGTAAGGCAAATTTCAACATACTTGCTTGCCCAGTCCCTGTAAATAAATTGCTCATCAACATCCTTAGAAATATGCCAGATACCATGAAAGGACTCCAATGATAGTTTAGATTGACTGCACAATGCACCCACTGCCGCATTTTTTTTATCTGGAATCACTTTTGCTCTGATACGAAAACCTGCAGTGGAAGATGCGAATTTCCCAAAGAACGTTTAGGAAAGTTTTTAAATCCTGGAAGGTTGATGAGAACTTCGATCGGGCCATCTGAACAATAGCGTCTTTGAACACGGCGAGATATGCCCGTAATCTACCGGCTATTTAAAAGATTCATGCATTCGTGCTCCTGCAAGCCATTGCACCAAGCGTGGTTATTGCAATTTCTCCCAGGATGCCGTCCAATGTTTTTTAAAATTATTAAGCCTTGCTACGTGGTAGGAAAAATTCCTCTTCACAATATTGTGTTGGCTAAAGGGGCTGATTGCAAATTGATTATTAATTAAGACATCGTCCAATAGTCAATTTTATCACACAAAAATGTTTTTCTATTTCTTTTGTTTGCGTACGTTAATCTTGTTAACACGTCACGTACGTTAACATTCTACAAATTCATCCTAGCATTCCTGATAGCGAGTTGGAAGAAAAATATGATTGTATCTTTGCTGAATAGCCTTCTTGAGGAAAAATTGATCAACAATTAATTAATTAAACCATTTTTTCCTTTCATTGTGAGTGCAAATGAGATTAAATACCTTATTAGGAAGGGTCAGTATCCATCACGCTTTTTTGCAACCGCTCTTAGTTAGGATGAAATATAATCATGGCATATATGAATCATGGAAACCTTTCAAATCATCATTCGAGTACTCACAGTAAAACCATTGCATTTTGCACTCAAAACCGATGTGCTTTAATCCTGAAATGAAAGAATGCGAGGATTTCTCTCTCGTGAATTCAATCAAGTCGAACCACGACGCGACAGGCGACCTAGAAAATACCAGACAAACCAGCGAGGCTTGATCCAAACGTGGCCTCCACCGAGGTCTTGACAACCTAAAATTACGACGAACCTGAAAACACAGACTTAAGCGATTTCTTGTTCTCTGAAGACGCACGACGACCAGGCCTTTAAATTGTCGTTTCCGAGGCTGAATGGAGCGCTTCTGTCCTTATTTTTTGGAGCTTTCGGCTGCAAGCTGCACCTCAATATTCCCAACTTGAATGACAGAAAAAAATTAGTTTTCCTCCACAGCGATCTCCTTAATAACAATTCCGTTAATAACAATAAGGAGATGTTAAATGTAATAATGCACACATATCAGAGTGGAATTTTATATATTAAAATTTCCGTGAATATAAAATGAATACTTTTCATCATGAACAATCGTGGAACATTCAGCTGACATTCATTAAGCGATTAGACATGATAAAAATAAACAATTTGCAAACTTTTGACAAACAATAGAAAGACTGAGATGACAAGAATCACACCTTCTTAAAATTAACCCGTCCACAAAATTAAAATACTCCTCCAATTAAAAAAAAATGGCCAGCAATGCGTATTTTTTTGCTTAAAAAAGAAGTTGAAAGTAGGCTCGTCTAGAAGCCAGACTGAAGGACCTCGCGCGTAAGTGTCCTGAAGTTGTCGCTGAACTTCGTTGAGGACAAACGACAGCCTCGACAATTCAAAACTTTTTACGTATCCTTTATTTTCCCCCCGTATTCAACACAAGTAAAATTTTGGGTCTAAATGTAGCAAGAAATGAAAATTGCACAACTCTGTTAACCTTATATTTTCCCTTCAGTATTTATATACGTACGTGCAGTTTGAGAATTGTAACATCGCAAGCGGAAATAGGCATAGCAGAAAAACACCCTTTATCACTCAAAAAAGAAACACGTATTAGTCAGCCTTTGTTCTTGGATCAAGTGTAAGAAAAGTAAAAACTTTTTAGAAAAATTACTCTTATAAATTATTAGCTTTGATGGCCAATAGGGAGCGCTGCATTTTTTAACCTCTCAAACATATTTATATTTTCTTCTTCCTAATCTGAATTGAAAACAAAAGAAAGGGCACGAATCGCAAGAACTACAAAAGGAGCAAATACACAAAAATACTTTTAAAAATGCATTTGAGAAGGGATTGTTGTTCGGTTCAAAGTCGAGCACAGATTTTATCGGAGAAATTCAAGCTTTCTTTTTCTGTGAATGGGATCCTATTCAAAAGTAAATATGCTCTAAGAAGTAAAACTAGCCAGTATTATTCAAAAATATTATTACGGAGATTTTCAATCTCATTGCGGAAAAATTTGTTAAATAACCTGAAACTTTTTTTGGCAAAAAGTACTAGTACTGTAGTGTTGATAGCACCTTAGTTAAGGCGTTGTATAAAATAAATGTACATGATACAATACGTAGGAAAGCTAAACAGAGTAAATTAATTTATTTTCCTATATATTAAGGGATATAATTACGTTCCTTCTCTTTTGATGCACGTCTGCTGAAGTTAACGATGTCACTGCCTGTTGTGATTTACTGATTCAATCAAAAGATTTATTTAATATAGAAATAAGTTGGAATAATAATTCACAATAACACTTTTTTCTCTGTCGGAAAAATCAATGCTCTTTTCATATAAACGATTAAAAAATTTTACTTGCTGCATCAGTGGCAATTATTCTTTTGAAAATGTTGGACATTCTTCAAAGCACCGATGAAAAGAGCGAAAAATGCTGCCGTAAGAGCTTTGCCGCACCCAAGCGTGCAACTCACTTGAGAACAGCGACCGAATTCAAGTCTACGGAAGAAATACAGCTTCAACTACACAAGTTATTGAAATAGACTTATAATTCTTCGCAATATAGAGCTCTCATATAATAGACAATGAACGGGCCGAGGGTTGCAGTTTCTGTTGTGTCAAACATGCGGCCTTTTCTTTGTACAAATTAAAGAGGATGAACTTGAAATTAACCGACGCGCAGAAAAAATATATTTGTTTTTCCGAAACACATTAACAAGGAAATATCGCTCCAGAAAAATTTGATAATAAGCATTTTGTCTGGGCTCATAAATGTAATAAATGGCCATCAGTGATTTCAGACATTGGACTATACGATGATCATTCGGCCATGGCATGGAATATTAAATGAAATGATAAAAAACTAAATAAATGCAAACACCAATAAACGCGAAATCAAAAATTAAAGACAAAAAAAAGTGCTAATTCCTTATACCATCTCACAAATAAAAATAAAATCATTTTCAACGCAAATCTTGTGATAGCTTCGGATTCTCGGTGTTTTCATTTGTCACTCTATGATTAATTCCTGACCTAAATATACCCTGTATGCTTGATTGGATATTCAGAGATAGTGAGGCGATGCGATTGTTAATAATTTCTTCTTAAATTTTAAAGTACATTTCTTCAAGCNTCTTCAAACAAAATTCCTAAAATGAATTGCATTTTAGGAATTTCCTTTTTTTTAATTCCTTTTTTCAACTGAATGAAAAAATATGATGTCAACTCTTAGAAAGTCAACCTAGACACTCAAAATTAGACTTAACATAGAGATGAAGTGAAAATATCTTATTTAATTTACAAATATATAAATCCCTTCCGAGGGTGTTGTACTTGGAACCCATGAAGCCTCCATTGCGGACTAAATTACTTCTGGTCTCACGAGCTTTGCCAAGATCCGTTTGGAATTAGTTTCCTTCAGGTTAATCCCGTTGGTTACGGTTCTGTTTCTCTTGAAAATAAGGTATCATGGTCTCCAAACCTCGTTGCAAAATATTATCGTATTTGGATCCATTTTTCCAGGTTAACGAGCAGGACAATTTCAGGAAGATTCCAAGATAAATTCGCTCAAACGTGTGTGCGGAAAATATGTTCTATTGCACGAGATTGGTGATCGAAATTTGCATTAAGTGTCGGGATATTCAGATTTATTTGTACTGCCTTCGTCAATCACAGGCATGGGGTAAAAAAAAGAGGAATGATCTCATTGATTGATCTAAAAAATTAAAGAGATCAATGCAATTGGTAGATTTCAAAACGATATTTGAGATTAAAAGTGTCATGCTATGCATGTCATGAAGGGAAGAGGCACGTATGCACCAGGTTCTCAACTCTGGCGCTACCAGCCTCCCTTGTTTTGTCTACGCAACGCCATAAATCTGGAGTCGAGAAAACAGAGCAATGACATTTGAGTTATTGCTTGTATTGCAATGATCATTTATTGCGCCGACATGCCAGTCTCACGCCGAGGCAGGCAATCGGATTAAATTTACATTAGAGCGATTGAATTCGTTGATGTATTATGCACTGCTGAATTAGATTGCCTGTCATTTCAACACCTCGACTTCCCTATAATTCAGTATATAAAATGGTTGAATTTAGTACCTGAACATATTGTCCTAAGATCATTACATCAGTAATG